ATCTTACCCACTTGTATGTCCTGCCCTCACACCCTTTCTGAAATCCCAAGAAACAAAAAAGTGGGTGAATTGGCAGGTCTAACAAAAACAGTGTTGCATTTAAGTCTTTGCAGACTTAGCGGTAACCGCAGTTCTGACTATAAAAATTACCATCATCTTCCTGCTTCATCTTGAAATGGCAGGTCAAGGGCAAGAGACCTCCCAAGTCAGTGGCTTCTCTGATGCTATATATACTACAAACTTTCCTTTGAAAAGCTTCCTGTTACTTTCTCAGTGTATGGAAGACTAGAGAAAACGTGCGCATGCTTGAGATGTACAGGGCACTGTGTCAGAGAGGAAAGGTGTTGCTAGTCTTTTACAAATTCTCTTTGCAGCCTTTACCTCTTTCCTGGGTGACCCAGAACTCACTAAGTGAGAAAGACGGAAACTAATTCTAGGTTCTCAGTACTGTGAGGCGCCTCATCACCTGAAATATATTGGAGGCATATCTGAAATATCTGGAGGCGCAGAAGGGAAAAAAAAGAAAAATGCATTTTACGTTTTTATTTAATGGGTTATTCCTAGAGAAGGAATGTGTCAGGGCAATGAGTTTCTTGCATTTTGGTGGAGCCTATCAAGAGAACTATCAGAAAACAGCAGTCTCTTGTTGTGTGACTCTTAGCCATTTTGTTTTATAAGCAGTTTAGCTATTTCTCTAGTAGGTCCTGTTACAACTGTACTCTCCAACATCTTACACGAAGTTCTTCAAACTAGAAGAAAGGAAGGCATTCCCTCTTAAAATACTGATTTGTTATCACTTAACTGGATTTGAATTACTACTTCTTTTTTTCCATTTTTAGACTATATCTTGAATAGATTCTAGAATCACAGTCCAATGTAGCACGTCATCCTCAATTTCCAAGAAATTTTATATGCTACTACTTGGTCTAAGTGCTATGGGCAACCTTTTTTTATTCCAGTTCCTCTGATAGTAAGTTTTGATACTGTGTATGCAACTCTAATCTGTTAGCCCTTAACAAACACTTAGACTCTTAGAACCAAACCAAGCAAACATTTAAACTATTATAGCTGAATCAGCTTTCTAAGTGTTACTGGTTTCTCATGTCATTAATAACCCTACTTATCAGAATATTTTTTGCTGGCTCAGTATTAGTAGTTGACTTTTACATATTTTTCTCCAAAACCAAGAGTAATTTTCTACAGGAAGGATAAGATATTAAAAAAAAAAAGTGCCTAAGTATTTGCATTCCTTAGGCTGTAAAATTAGAGACCTGCGATTTTGTATCAGAAGGTGGTCAAGGTATATTGCATTGCATTTGCGATATGAAATAAACTGTCATCCTACAGGTTCATCAATTTGAGATTTTTTTCATCTCTGCTTAGAGAAATTAACCAGATTGCATGCTTGTGAACCGGAGGAACCACACGCACACCTTCATGAGTGTGCACTTCCCTGCCCCTCCTGCCCCCTCCCCAGTTCTTTCACAGAACTCATTCTGGGTTATGTTTTCTCATTGCTCTCCTGCTTAAGACCTGGCTGTAAAAACAGGGAACCCTTGAGAGAACTATGCTAAATATCCCTTCATAGTCTGTCCTTGTGGTCACCAGCACTGTACCTCCTCTTAGTCAGAAGTTTGCTTATGCCTGTTTGTGGGGTTTTCGAGAATGGTACTAATGCTGTCAGTGGATGTAGAAACTCGGACTGACTGTAAATAGCTTGGAAGTTTGAACTACTCCTTAAAGTGTTTATAAAGTACTGTACTTTAGTACCTTTCAACTGTGGGAAAGTTAGGGTTACTTATCCCCATGAAATTGTCTGAGGCAGCTATTGCATTAGTGCTGTATCTGCAGTGCTTTGCCATCCGTGGTTAAGCAACTTCCTGTTGGAACCACTGATCTGTGTAACTTTGCTGTATGCGACAGAAGTGGTCAGGCTATGTGCCATCTTGTATGTGTTCAAACTTCTAAGTACTGATTTTGAGAACTGTATTTGGATAACTCAAACTCAGGTGGGGGGGGTCACAATTATTTATTCAATTTTCCTATCATCCTTTTGGTAAACTTTGCTTTCATAATACAGTTTTACAGCTTTTACTTTTGGGGATAATTTTTGGCTTAGGCATCAGCTGAGGAAGGAGGGAATGTTAGTCTCCTAGTTGCATCTATTGTGAGCCTGGCGTGGTGGAAAAACTGGGATTGCTTGCAACATTTTTTGCACTTAAAGCTTCTGACAATTCCCTAGAGGGATCCTAAACTACTGTTCCCAGTAGTTAGTGGCTGTTAACACTGTTGGGACTGATAGCTTCAGCTCAGTGCTAGTTGAGCTTTTTTTGGAAGTTTCTGATGAATCTAAAATAAGCTTTTTGGGAAAGGCAGCAATCTGGAACAGCTTCAAAACCATTTCTATAGGCTTCTATTGGCCACCTTTTCTTCATTTGCTGGTTGCAGATTGCAAGCTTGTATGTCATGAAAGGAACCAAGACTAGTGAGTGGTTGCGGGGGGAGGAGGTGGGGAGGGATCATGGAAAGCTATGTGTGTTCAGGGTATAGAAAAGGGAAGAAAATAAAAATAGTGGGCACATGGAAAAATGCTGTGTAGCAGCAAAAAGCCTGTATGACTTTCGTGGGTAGAAGTCATGCCTTGTAAATTGTTTGATCTTTTTTGAAATTGGGATGGTGAAAAAAGTGTGTGGTATTTGTGTAGCATTTAGAAAGTATGTATTTGATATACTTTTATTATTGGAAAGGTCCCTAAAACTTTCTTTTTTAATTTGGAAAACAAAGGCCTAAGAATAATTGGTCAGTTTTAATAATAGCAGGAGACTAATGGGTTGGAAGAAGATATTTTAAGGGTTCTGTGCTTGGAATGTGGTAGTCAGCATTTATGTTACCTTGCTGGTATCTCTCAGATCAGAGTTTGCTCATGAAACCAAATTACTTAGGGTAGTTAAAGCTAAAGTTTAACTGGAATGCATTGCTAAAGGGAATCTGTTATTTTGACTAAGGCAAGACATTTTTTTTATTGATAAATGAAGTGGAATCTGCATGGGTGAGAGGGGGGAATCTAAACAAGGCAGATGCCTGATGATTTCAAAAATCTATCACAGGAAAAAACTGCTAGCACGGTAGTGGTTAAAAAAGATACAGATAATGTGAGAAATTGCAAGTAAATGCTTTTAGAGCAAAAGAGCAAATATGCTAATGATATCTTCAAATTTGGTGTAATTTTTGTTTTAGCCATCTGCAAATATGTAATATAACAATAATGGGTATGTAAACAGTGATGGTCAAAAATACAGAACAGCATCTGTACCTTTAAAAGCAAAATGCTTTAGTATAGAAATTATGTGCAAGAGGTGGGGGAGAAAAGGGATGTGATAAAAGTTAGGAAATTATAAACATTACATAGAACTGAATAGGAAATGATTATTTTCTTTCTTTAAAGTAATGTAATTAGATATTTTTTTTTTTTCCTTGCGCTTTGATCAGAAGAGTATGTGAAGACACCCATGTAAAAATTACTGCTGCATACCGGGCTGTAGTAGCAGAAGTGTATCTGTACAGTCAATAGAAGTGATTCTTCACCTCTACTTGGCACCATTAAGACTATATCTGGATTACTGTGTCGGGTTTGGGACTCATCCCACATACTTGCATACTAGTGAGGATCTGGTGGAGAGTCTCCAAGATGGTTAGAAGGCTGAAGCAAATGCTATACATGGAGAGGCTGAGAGACTGGGGGGTTTTTTCAGTTTTGGGGGAAGAAGGGCAGGGTTATTGCTGTTTTCAGTGACCTGATAGGGAAGTTTAGCAAAGGAGGAACCAGAGTCATCTCAACCCTACAGCTGCCAAGGATGAGAGGCAACAGACAGAAGTTGCAACACTGGAAATTCTGATGAGATGTTGGGAAATTTTCCCTCTCCCCCATAATTAGGTTAATCAGACATTGGGAAAATTGTTCAGAAAGGTAGCAGAAACTCCAGTCGTTGAAGACACCCATTAACAACTCAGCCGGACAAGACCACAAGCAATCTGATCTCACTTGCTCCTGTTTGAGCAGGAGGTTTGGCCACCTGATCTTCTGAGGTCCTTTCAAAGATCAGCTGTTCTGTAATGGTGCAGCTTTGTGGAAGACAAAAACATACAGGTCCTAAAAGGCAGTGAACAGGTTCACAAGGAAAAAAAAAAAAGGGTATATCAGTAGCTATTTAATGTTTATCTGGGAAGAACATTGATCTCTTTCCATACTTTTTGCTTATATATGAAAAGAGAGGACACTCTATGCAATTTTTTTTCTGGTCCAATTTGATAATTGGCGCTGTATCTGCTGAGATACAGAGCAGAATGGCTGATGAAAATGACTCCTGCCGGCCATGTATTCCCACTGCTGCTTCTGGCTTCTCTGGAAGGTTGTAAAAGAACAAAAAACATTAGTTTAGACCATGCATGTGACGGATACCATGCTGGGGCAGGCGTGGGAGTACCTTAAACCTTCTGTAGAACTTTAGTGCTGTATTCTTTTTAAGGATCTAGTGTTAGCGGTGGATGCTGGGCTAGATAGAGCTCTGGTCTGACCTAGCATGCCTTTTTTTTTTTTTCGTTCTACTCCTTTTTTTGACCCCTTTTTCTTTCTTTTTTTTTCCCCCCCCCCCCCCCCCCCCTTCTGGAAAATAAAAATAATGAATGGCTGTTTAATGTAGTTTAAAAATGACTGTGTTAATCACATGAGAGTTAACTTTCTGACAACTCAGTGAAGGAGAGAATTTTCCATCCCTCCGTTTTGTTGCCAGTGTCCAGAAGAAGTTATACTGTTGAGTAATAGTAGCTATTTCCTGACTGTACATTTATTATACTTAAAGTGATGAACCACAGTAAATAATGTGTAAGATTTTCTTTTCAACCTGTCTTAATATATCTGAAACAAAACCCCAAAGAGCTACAATTTTTATTTGTTCTGTTAAAATGCAACAAGTGTGAACTTTTTTTTTGTCTTGCAGCATAAGCAGCACTATTATGGATGTAGACAGCACAATTTCCAGTGGGCGTTCAACTCCGGTTATGATGAATGGACAAGGAGTTCCTGCCTCCTCTGCAAAAAGCATTGCTTATAACTGTTGTTGGGACCACTGCCATGCTTGCTTCAGCTCCAGCCCGGATTTGGCAGATCACATTCGCTCCATACATGTGGATGGTCAACGAGGAGGGGTTGGTGTTACTTTTTGTTTTCTCCATCTTTCTTAGTTGCCAATATTTTACTCTTTAATGACAGTAGCAAAATTTATGGTTTAAAGTATCAGTTCTGTAGCTAGTGACAACTAAGGTTGGGCCTTCAGCATTCTGGTATTAGGAATTCAGCTATTGTCTTTTGCATAGTTCACTTGATTTGGTATTCTGTGTTTTTGATTGAATGTCGAACTTTAAGAATGTACTAAGTTCTTTTAAGTAAATGATTTGAGGCTATCAGGTTTTTGATGGATGTGCTAACTTCTAAACATCCTGAAGCTGTTAGTGTATCTTTAAGTGCTTATATTAGGAATTAATTTTCTTAAAACTATTAGTGTATGTGTTACTACAGTGAACTCAGGTGAAGTCATATCTTAATTATTTTTACAAATGGAGTCTCAGTAGAGGTAAAATATATACAGAATGTATAATAGGGAAGATGTAAGACTCATTGACTTGAGAGTACAAAGTCTTATCGAAACAGCTCAGTAGTACTGATGGCAAGTATACCTCAACATAATTGCATCTACTGTTTTTTGTTTTGTTTTTTTTTTTTAAATTGAGGTGCATATATAATCATGTATATTTCAGTCTAATCCCTGGTCAAATGGTGCCATTTCCTTTGGTCTCACAATTTCAATGTTTCAAAACATCTTCCAATAGAGTAATTTCAACTCTGTACTTACTACCTGGCCCTCCCCAACCTCCCAAATTACCTTTGATTCCTGGAATATGTCGTGTAAACTACCTTTACATTAACACAAGCAATCTGCCTGCTTTCGGTGCTGTATGTTGCAGCTCTTCAATTTCTTGGAGAGCTAATATCAAATCTTAACCTAGAATAGTCATTACCTTTTGTCTTTTTGTCCTGTGACTTCTCCAGAAGTGAAGTGTTTTGGCCATTACTCTCTGAGTGAATAAGAGACTTAAATAAAATGCTAATTTGCATTACTTTAATTTATTATGTAATTGTGTCACTGAGACAGCTGTGACTCTGGTTGTATTTAGCTAATTTTTTTTGGTGTGATTGAACTTTCAGCTTCATATTTGGTGACTTTTTTCAGTCTAAGCTCTAAGCAGAATCATCCATCCAGTGAGCTGGCTTTTTAGCCACCCATGAGATGATTTCTGTAGTTCTGTTCATAGGTTTATAAAAGTGTTAATATGAATCCTGGATGAAACAACGAAATGGATGAGATAAATTGGTATCCTGTGGGTTTTCACATAACTGCATCTCTGGGGATCATTGTTATGCCATCCATGAACCCTTTTAATTTCTTAAAAAGGGACTGGAAGATTTTTCAGGGTGGTTTTTTTTGTGGTTTTTTTTTTTTTTAAATTGGATTTCTGTTCACTTACATTCCATGTGATGTGATTTATGGATATTTTTATTTAGAAAATGTTAGACTGTATTTGTCTTTCTGAAAGAGGAGTTTGTTGGAAGCACCAAGTGTCTAATAACTGTTGCATTCAGTTCACACTTTCTATCCCCCTACTGGAGTTGGTTTATTTTTTGAGAAGTTCTTCAACTTGATGCTATGGAAGGGGACTGATCGTGGCTGTTTTGTTTCAAGGATTTGCCTGCCACCTGCTGGTGAGGTGTTTAAGTGGTGTTAGAAATTATATTGTGGTTTTGATTGGATTTCAGGTATTGCTTAACTACATTGACTATAAATTTGAAGAAAAGTGAAGGTAGTAACTGCTTATTGCGAACTTGAAAGCAATGTGATAAGCATCCTTGTATGGTAAAATGTATATTTTCAACCTAATACTGATATAATGGCTCCAAACCAGATAGATCCATGAAGAGCCCAGGAAACTTTTTGACAAAACAGTTTTACTTCCCCAAAATTTTTTTTCAGAAATATTTCGGATTCAGCCTTCTGACAAGGTTCCCAAGAAGCCTCGCCTGGACTTCTGATGGGTTGTTGTAAAACCAAGTGCTTGTTTTTTGGAGGGATTGCATTTCCGCAGTCTGTAACTTCATAGTAATACTCCTTTGCTGAGTGCCCCACAGTCTGCAGTTCCTGATGGAAATATTGGGACAGTTACAGAGCTGTTGCAGAGCCAGGAATCTCGGAAATTCCAATTCTGTGGCTGCCGGGGCATCTCAAAACTGAGGAGTGGCAGACACCAAAGGTTTAGGGGCTTGAGCCTTGTGTGTCAGTAGGTCTGGATCAGTCATACAAACATGCAGGATTTTCCAGCTTTGTATTAGTAAGCTGGGTTACCTATATATTATATAAGAAGTACATAGCACTCCTGTGGCTGCTCTTTTGTTTTGAAAATACAATCTTTTGAAGACTGAGTTTTTTAATCTCTAAAAGAGAACAAGAAGCTCAAATCCAATCAGTTTCCTGCAGTTCTGAAAACTTGTATTATCGACAGTGCTGTTCCTGGGGATTGTATTTTGCTGCTACAGATTAGGACTGCACCTCCCTTCACACACAGACCTGTTGAGGAAATTCTAATGAAAGGCAAGTTCATTGAGCTTTTTCATTCTCTTGGTTATAGACAGACACAAGGACAGGAGAGAGAAAAGCAGCATGAGTAAGTTCTACTCCCGTAATTGCACTATAGTGCATGTGACTGATCTGTACACTGGAAACACAAAACACCCATAGGTTTTGAATCCTGTGAGAACTTGTAACTTTCTTCATCAGGAATTGAGTATAAGTCCCTAACTAGAGGTATCTGGTATTCCATAATGTAAAACTCTGGTATCTAAACAACTGTATTGTAATTAAGAGTTTTCACTTTTTCACTCTGAAAGAATAAAATTATTAATTGCTTATGAGAGTAAATTATTTAATTTCTATATCTGCTACCCAGAAAATGTAAATTTGTCATTTAAAAATCTTCTGTCTCAATATCTGGCAGATACAGATATTGGGTACAAACACAAACTTTTTACAGTGGATGCTGTAGCTCTCAATTGTGTTTATCTGCAGGAGTATCTTTTTTTTTTTTTTTTTGGTATTTTATTCCGGTGACCAGCTTTTTGGAATACTTGTGGTTGCAATTATTTTTTCCTTGGTGAGATATGAGAACTGTGTTGCAAAATAAATGGTTATTGTTCAAAATTCTTTGAAGTACTTTGTATTGTGAAAACAGGCTTCTTTGCTAATCAGATTTTTAAATTTTTTTTTTACTGTTTTCTTTGACTTGTGTAAACTTACTGAATTTTTACTCTATTAGGTGTTTGTTTGCTTGTGGAAAGGTTGCAAAGTATATAATACACCTTCAACAAGTCAAAGTTGGTTGCAGAGGCATATGCTGACACACAGTGGGGACAAACCTTTCAAGGTAAGGTTTATTGTAACATATATCATCCCTTATTTTAAAAATGATCCTATTTATTTTTCCTGATACAATATATTAATTGAAAAATGCCATCGCAGGAGGATTTCTTAAAAAGCATCCAATGAGCTGAGCCTTCATCTTTGCAATAATAGTCCCTAAAGGTCCTGTTCTGTTATGAAAACAGGTGAAGATACCATTATTGCTTCTCTATCCCTGTTTCTTTCAATCTATAAATGGTAGGGGAGTGTAAAACTAAATAGTGCTGAAGATCAATTTTTTTGTGCATTTTCCAGTTGAGCTGCTTACTCTGTAACAGGGAGATATTTTGCCCCATGCTTTACACATCCACATTAAACTCTGGATCATGCCTGATGGTGCACATTCTGTGCTTGAATAAGGGCTGATTTTGTTAAGAAAATTCATTTGAAACACAGTCAGTGACTATTTATGGTTAACCTCTCTGAGAATAATAAGGAAGTCAGGAATGCAGGACCATTGAGCTGACTGTATTTCCTGCATAGTATTTTCTAACTTTCTCTTTCTTTCTCCCCCTAATCTGTACCTGCAATTCTAGGTATAGTAGTGTTTATCATTCCCATATCCACCAATCCGTTATTAATGAGTTGCTTCATCCTCTTATGGATACAGTTGGGGCAGTTCATAGCTGTCAGTCCTGGATCACTTGATGGTAAGTCCCACCCACACTACTTCAGACTGAAGTTCTCCTTCCATGTAGGATATGACAATGAATTAGGGTTGGGTTTTTTTTGGTTGCTTTTTGTTTTGGTTTGGTTTTTAAGTTTAGGTAGCATTTTATGCCTTCCTCTCCCCCACCCCCTAACCCCACCAAGTTTTAGTCACTGTTTCTCCGCTTCCCTTTCCTCTCTTTCTTCTCAGGTTAATATCTTCTGGTTTGTGGGTGGATTTTTGTTTGGTTGGGGTTTTTTTGTTTGGTTTTTTTTTAAGGCAGCTTTATTACTAAAAAATACTTTTCTGTTACAGTGATGTCTTCCAGAAGTTACTTCTGTGTAGCTTATAACAGTAGTTATGACAGAAAACAAAACTAAACTCAAAACCTAGAGAGTAAAAATAGTACAGTGCACGTGAAAAAGTTTATTAATAAAGGTTAGACTAATTTCCATACTGAACCATGTAGTTTAATTTGAAAGTCTCTGAGAGTGAACAGGAAACTTGTTCTTGAGGTTATCATACCCTTTGTTCAAAGGAATAAGGTTAGCATGCTCTTGGAAGCATAGCATAAGGATCATAGATCCCTGAAAGTTCGCAGATGTGATTGTTCCAGCAACTGATCTAATCTTAAATGCTAATCCCTGAATAAAATAAAAACAACAGTTATCAGAGGAAACTTGTACCTTAGGTCTTCTCATTTTGGAATTAAATATTTTACTTACCTTACAGTATAATGGCAAGCTTTTGTCTTGAAGGAAAGTCTTTCAGTAGGATAATTTGTATACTTATTTGGTCTAGATCAAAGAAACTCAGTCTTAGAGACACTGGGTTTAAAAGAGGTGGGCATAGCTCAGAAATACCAGTAGTACTTTTGAGTCTGTTAGAGTTACCTGGCAAAGTCAGTAAAAGTTGGTATCCCAGTTTTTTAGCTAGGCTGGTTACAGCTAGAGGCCTAAAATCTAAAACAATCAGTTCTGATAATAATCATCTTGTGTTAAACATGTGTTACTTCACTAGCTGATTTTCTGTACTTTCTGGTCACACTAAGGGAAAGAACAAAACACAGGCTAGGATTGCAGTAGCTAATCATCATGGCTCAGTGTGTGTCACTTCAGCATTTTTTCCTACTGTTGTCTTTAGTCCCACTGTTTGTTTTTTATCTCTTTATTTCTCAGTCTGTTCCTGGGGGGCTTTGAATGGAGGATAATTGTGGTCTGAGTAGAATTTTGCAACCTCTTTTATTCCCCTGCCATTTATGCTGAATATAGGCTTCAGGGCTCATATGAGGTAGCCAAGTATGTAAGTGTCTGTGATAGCAACCTATTAATTAACTAGCCCCCTTTCCTCACTTGCTTCTTTTCTTTTACAAGCTTTTGAAATCTACAGTCCGATACAAAAACACTTAAAGTGTTGGATATTAGTCTTGGATCGGTCCAAGAACAGCCATTACTAGTTGTTTTACGGCAGTCATTCAAAAACAGAGCAAATGTTTCTGTTTGGTGCATTTAGCTGTTCTCATAAATCTTAATTGCTCACCTTTTAGGAAAAGCCAAATTTTTTCAAGTCAGAGTTGGATTAAGGACCTCTTGATGATTACTGCAGACAAGTTATCTCCCAAAACCTAAATTACAAATGAAATTTCTATTTCCTTGTGGGAATATACTTGAGTTCTAGCATAGGAGGAAGGAATCTGTCATTTTAGAGAACTTGCTGAAAATACCTTTTCATTCAGTGTTTATTTAAAAAATAAGTAAATGAATGTCAGGATTTTTGAGGAAAGCCATAAAAGACAGTGATGGAAATAGTATGGGTGTATGCTGTTGTCTGAAGAACTGCTGGTCAGAATGTTTTTAAGAAAAGCAAAGAATGTTAGCTAGGAAAGTGACAATTAAAAGCATGGAAAATTTACTTTTGTGAAGGTGAAAGAACACTATAATCGTATAATGACCAGAGAAGAGTAATAAATATATGGCAGGTTGCTATATTCTCATATTTCTAGTTAAAATAAGAGACAAAAGTATTTTCTTAAATTGAAAGGCAGTTGGGGACTGTCTCAGGCATAAAGCTTTCCTTTGCACTGTAACTACTCTGTTGAAGGATATGTCCCTGTCCTGTCACCCTTTTGCTTGCAAATGGACTCATTTTATGTAGTTGCCCATTTTGGGTTTAATTATCTATTTTTGTGATACACATGGTGTTGTCCTTTGATTAAAAGTTTATCCAGCTGTAAATGAGCTGCTGTGCTTTCATGTTGAAAGGTCTTTGTGGGTTTACCTGCCCTTTCCTTGCATTCATATAAACTATGTGACTGTGTAATTAATTTGTCACAGAAATGAACTAAATTCTAAATTACAACGGCAAAAAGTTTCAAATTTTTCTAAGTTTCTCCTTTTTTTTCTGTTTGTGTGGTTTAGTGTGTCCCCCTCAGCAATAATATTGCATGCAATACCTGTGTCACAGAAAAGGTAAATTTCCTTATGAATACCTGTTTTTGAGACCTTTGTTATGCTATCTCCATTTTTATATGGGGCAATTTCCTGGTAGCGTATGTCCAGTTCATAAGGAGGAGACATTTTATATCTGAGTCATCTGCTGAACTAAGGGGGGCGGGGGGGGAGATACCTTAGATCTTTGGGCAGAGCTCAGTACCTCAGTTCCCCTTTAGTCATCATATTGCTTTTCTGTGTATCCCCTCCCTTTTTTTCTAAGTTTTTAATACTGATGGCCTTGGGTTTCTTGTGGAACACATGGATGGATGTTTTTTTTGCTTGTTTTTTTGAGGCCATCATCACTAAATTTTATTACTGATAAAGTGTCTTTTCCTAGGGCACCCACCAATCCCTCTAGCAAAGAAAAAGTGTCCATCAAATGAGACATAGTTACCATTGCAGCTAGTTCTCAGTCTGTAGTCAAATAAGATTTCTGCAAAGCAGCATGCTTTTCCAATCCTACTTTTGATAAGCACCATTTCCTAGATTTGTTTTTCTTGTCAAGAGGAACAAACAAACAAACTGGTCTTGCAGAACATTGTGCTGGTTGAGAACTTACGGGCCTTCTTTGGCCCACTGTTAGGTAGTTCTGAAGTTATTCTGCTCCTCTTAATACCTGAAGTTCATTGCTCTTGTGCTGCTGGAAGTTTTCTCTTTGCTTATTGCAGTCTGATTCTAGCCATCCTTTAATATTTTTTTTTTTGTCATTGTAGAGATTCATTTAATATAGGTATTCTCAGAGCATGTTAATTGTTTCTCTGAAGACATTTAGTATGTTCATGTTTGTGTATGATTTTGCATTCAGAGTTGAGAGAGAAAAACATAAACATCATTCATTTTTAGTTCTGCTGTTGCGTAAGTTTTGCGGCTTTTTAGAAACTGGTGGAATATTGTAGAGTATCATCAACATGTAGTGGTGGTCTTGTCAAGGCTTCAGCAACTTAAAAACTTTCAGGCTTTCAGAGCATGTAGGCAGGTGAATCTAGAGGAATAATCCACTGAGTTAGAAAACAGATGCTGGTAGCGGTCTTTGGCAAGCTGAGAAAAAGTGAATGAAGAAATTCTATGTTACTTGTCTTAATAAGTATTTGAATAGTTAATGTGCTGTGACAACCTGTATTTTCCAGCATGGTTTCTGATACTGGGGAAAAAAACACCTCCAAAACCCAATCAAAAAAACCCCAACAATAATAAAAAAAACCCACTCCCCCCAAAAGAAGTACTACTTGCCATGCCTTGTTGCTGTACAAGGCATTGGAAGTTACTTGAAGAAATATCAAATAAACTCTTAAAATGTAGTCTAGGTGACCACTACAAGATGTTAGGCACAATGAAAGGACAAATAGTAGAGTGAGCACAAAACAGTGGGAGATTTTATGCAAAATAATTGCATATAGCAATCTTCTGTAAATATAAGACTGCATGTGGGTATGTTACCAACTGCTTTCACATACTGATTCCAGTGGGTATGCTCTTAATGTTAAGATTAGTAATGCAAGGTTTGCTCATGAGGAGTAAATGCTTTCAGTAACATTGAATGACAGTACACAAGTTCATTGGAGTCCTTCATCCTTTGTTTAGAAGGGGGGAAGAAACTAATAATGAAATTTGGTGCTCATTCTACCACCTGTAACTTCCAGAATTCATTAAGGGGTGACTGTATTTGGTATGACTCTCAGCAGAGTAACACTTGTTGAAACATAGAAAACACAGACAAGCAGCTTCAGTCCTCATTTGGAATTCATGTCTATTAACTCTCTTGGCAGAATATCTTCTATCCATTAGAGCACTGCAGATGCAGATAGAAAATGTAAAGGCATTCTGCCTGAACACTTAGATGTTGAGACAAAAAGAAGGTTTATCCAGATGTCTAAAATATTGCTTTTAGATTTATTGGAAAAATTGCATATTGAATATTCTAAAAAGGAGATTTGGTTATTTTGAATTTAGGAAAAAAACCTGTATTGCTAGATATTTTTATATCCTGTTTGTTAAAGTCACTGGTCATTACTGCCCATTAATAATGGTGGGTATGGGTACACTGGAGAAATTAAACTTCTTATGTGTTGACTTATTTTCTCTTGAAGTAACATATCCACCAATCCGGACCCAATCTGTCATATTTAAAATCAAATGCAAAATTTTGAGATTTAGGTTTTGGGGGAAAAATGAAGAGATTGGTTTAAAGTTGTGCATAATAGTTGAGTTTGATTTATTAGAAGCCCTCTAGATCTGTATAATTATCTGGTGGGAAGCTGATTTGGTGTGACTTACCGTCCAGAGATCCTGAAGTGACAGCCTGAACTGCTCCTTTATCTTTGGAGAGAAGAGACTTTACCCATTAGTAACGGATTGCTGGATATATTATTTTAGAGAAAAAAAGAAAAAACCAGGTAAGATTTTTCTCCTCTTCTACTATTTCCTGTCTACTACAAAGGCACTCTGTGTCATCTTTGCTATATCAGCTGTTGGTTATTTGATGACGTGATCAGGTAGTCTCAAACTACACAATATCTGAATGTAATGATTCCTGCAAATAATTCATACTGTGGCTGCAGACTATAAATAGGCATTCTGGAAAAATAATCATTTCTAGTTGCAAGTTACATATGTTGAAGATTTAAGGATGCTGGTTTGGGGCTTTTGAAAGTAAAACTTGGGTAGAGCAAGAAAAGTGGTAGCTTCTGTAGGTAATCCATATAGAGTATCTGTGTTTTCTTTGTACATAACTAGACAAAAGTTATGACACTGAGTCAAACTGCAGTTTGTCATAAAACAATGTTTCCCATCTGACAAGAAATACAATTAAGCCTTATGAACTTGTGTTTTAAAAAGTTTTAGAAATGTGCCTGACACAAGGTTTATGTGTTGTTTTCAGAAGGTATTGCCTTTTGATATTATATTGTAATAAACTTGGAATGTGGTAATGCATGCACTGTACTGAGACTTCAGGTTATTTTTGACCTCTAGCAGGCATTGGCAAGACTGAAATTTTAATTTCTCAGTGTGATTGAACTTCAAGATATGGGGGGTTTTGCATGTTTTTTGTGTCAGTGTTTGTCAGATCTAAGTTTAGGTTTAGTTGCTTAGTTTAGTTTGATGAAACTGCTTTTATGGGCAAGACAGCTATTTCAAGGACTTAAAAACTGGAGAATAAAAAATTGTTTGAACTAATGCACACATGTATTTTACCTGTATCTGTTGATGGTGAGTTTGATCATCTTTAATACAACTAAGTGGGTCAGGTTGGGTGGGGCTTTGAGGAATCTAATCTGGTAGGAGGTGTCCTTGCCCATGGTAGGGGGGGGTGGAACAGGATGATTTTTACAGGTCCCTTCCAACCCAAACCATTCTATGATTCTGTAAGTATAAATTTCCATCTTCATTATTAATTTGAAGTAATAAATACTGCATTGAGGTTACTGTAGTGTAAATGAGATTTGGATCTTGAATGTTTTGAATTTCATAGATGTGCTGGGATTTCTTAGCATGGTGAGTCACTACAGTGTAAGTATACAATATTGCTGTTGTTGGAACATAGGAAATTATAGGGCAAGGTAAAAAAGCGTAGGTAGGTTTTTGCTAAAAATCTTCACAAATCTTAAGATACTTATTAGTGGGGGAGACAGGGAGGAACAAATACGGTGTGAAGGATCCTAAAGCTTTTTGCCAGGGAATTATATGTTTGTAGCTAGCTCAGTACTTAGAAAACATTCCTTAACTTCCCTTAAAAAAAGAAGGGGGGGGGGAGGAGAGAATAAAAATGTGAAAAAAGTCCTCCTATTTTTTGTCTTTTACAGTCTTGAAATATACGTACATATTTTTAGTCCTATAGCAAGTATTTAGTCCTTGGGGATAACACAGGTTTTTCTCTTCATGGACACTATATTGTTTTATGAAGATCATGGAAAATAATTTGCTAGGTCTGAGGCAAAAATAGACTTTTCAATTCTGCAGCCACAGTTGGAAAACAACACAGGTTTTAGGGACAAAACAGCACAGCTGGGTTTTAGGGACAAAACATGCTGAGTGGTGTTCTACTGCTGTTTTCTCGTCTTTCAATCAAATTTGCAGCCTTGGGGCAGATGACTGTAAGAGCTTGCAAATTCATCTTTAGTCTTCAGAGAAACCTTAGCACTGCGTACATAGTTGCAACGTTACTTGTACCCAAACTCCTGTTGGAGCTGCCTCATCAGTTTGCTTTGATGGGAATTGCTACAGAAGAGAGGTTGCTGTGGTTTAACCCCAGCCAGCAACTAAGCACCATGCAGCTGCTCACTTGCTTCCCCCTGCACCCAGTGGGATGGGGGAGAGAATTGGGGAAGGAAAAAAAAAACCGTAGAACTTGTGGTTTGAGATAAGAATAGTTTAATAGAACAGAAAGGAAGAAAATAATAATGATAAAAATAATAATAAAATGACAATAATAAGAATTGGAATATACAAAAGAGGTGATGTACAATGTAATTGCTTACCACTTGCTGACCAATGCCCAGTTGGTTCCTGAGCAGTGATTCCCCCCAGGCCAACTCCCCCCAGTTTATATACTGGACATGACATCCCATGGCATGGAATACCCCTTTGGCTAGTTTGGGTCAGCTGCCCTGGCTGTGTCTCCTCCCAACTTCTTGTGCCCCTCCAGCCTTCTTGCTGGCTGGGCATGAGAAGCTGAAAAATCCTTGACTTAGCGTAAACACTATTTAACAACAACTGAAAACATCAGTGTGTTATCACCGTTCTTCTCATATTAAACCCAAAACCTAGCACTATATCAGCTACTAGAAAGAAAATTAACTCTATCCCAGCTGAAACCAGGACGGGTACAGATGGAAGAGCTGAGGAAGATGGGAAGGAGGGGGAGGAGCAGAACAGATGTGGGAAAAAGTTTCCAATGGTTTAGAGTGGTGATGCGGTTTGTGCTGCTGGCTGGGCAACTCATTTGCCCTACTACTATTCTCTGGATAAGAAGAAAAATCAATCATGTGGATACATAATTCATTGCAGCCAATGATGGAATGTGTATCTTAAAATCACTTTTCTATTACCCTTGTAAGGTCAGAGCACAAAACAAAAAGTTTGTGCCTCCTTCCCCAACTGTATAATTTAAATACTCATTTTGCAAATGAAATAATTGTAAATATAAACCAAATACTTATAAAAATACCAATAATCATTGTAGCCAGTACTAGCTTAGTTGCATGTATCTTGCGATTTCTGTGTTTCTGCTTAATTATTGTTGGACCTTTTCTTATTTTTTTGTTTGAGAAGGAGAGGCCATTTTCTTTAAATGAGAACTTTCTTAAATACTTCTGAAGTAATAGTAGCATCCCAAAATAAATGTATAAATAATTAATACAACTTTCAAGTTACTGAAGTTAAAAGTTTTAGACAGAACTGTAAGATAACTGTTTATTGGCTTTGTATAGCATTTACAAAAAGCGTTAAGCTGTTTCAGATTTAATGTGAGTAAGTAAGGTGGGTAAGGATGTATGGTTTCTTTACTTCTGCCTTGTCACAAGAAAGGAGGATGTTGGAGAACTGTTGAGAAATACAGAATAACAGTGCAGTATTTTGAAAGACAAGGGGATGTTGGTCTGTGAAGGGGAAAGTTATTCAGAAGCATTTATTTTCTGTGGTAAGAGTTTGTCAGTGCATTGTTTGAGATTGGTTTTATGCTATACAATATTATAGAATATTATATAGCATAGAAAAAATTATTATACCATGGAATAATTATTGAGAGTTCTAAAGTTCAGATAGAAATTTATTTCAGGTTATGCTTCTGTTTTTAAGAATTGCATGGTCGTTAAGAATTTCTTTTCCTTTTAGTGTGTTGGAGGTTGAGCGAGAAAAGTCAAGCTGAAAGATCTATCAAACTCCTATGAATGAGTGCCATATAACATGCTGATACAGTTGTTCTGTTCTTTTCTCATTAGTGTGTAGTTGGTGGGTGCAATGCCAGCTTTGCATCTCAGGGAGGACTTGCCCGTCATGTGCCAACACACTTCAGCCAGCAGAACTCTTCAAAAGTTGCCAGTCAGCCAAAGGCCAAAGAAGAATCTCCATCTAAAGCTGGAATGAATAAAAGAAGAAAGTTAAAGAACAAGAGACGACGATCATTACGTAAGTATTTCCAGAAGTAGAAGTTCTTGAAAGTTTTGTCTTAGATAGGAAGTTCCTCTTCATTGTGGTTGTTTCTCTGCAGAAGTGGGTCTGATAGAGTTGGTGATTGTTGGCATCCCTTCTGATGGGAGGAAGACAATTCCAGATTCTGTGTTCCTTTTTAGGGTAAAGCATCTATGTGTTCAGTAGAAAAGATCAGTTTTCTGTGAGCAAGTTTGAATTTACAATTCAAAAGATGCTTTTCATTTTAGAGTCACTTTTGGTTTACTAACTATGTTACTGTTGGAAAATGTTCTGTTTAGTGAGGATGAGATCTGAAGTTCAGTATTGCAGACAGAGATTGCAGATTCATATAAATTAGAGATAAATGCATATTATATAAGCTCTCTTTTGAGCACATTTCATTAGCTTAATGACAGTTTTATGAGCATAACCAAGATCTAATTTGGGGCAGATTTGATCTGCTACATTTTTTAAATCTTGCTCTGCACAGTTGATATTTGTTAATTTTATGTGAACCAATGTGCTGAGAAGTGTGATTTATCATTTAAAGTGAGAATTGTTTCCTCTAGCAAGTAATAATCACTTACCTAGTACATTTTTTAGTCCGGTTTGATCCAATTGTTTGATTCCTGAGTTGTCCTAGCATCAGACTAAATAACCATGTCAAATTTATTTAGAGAACAGAAATGGTTAGGAAAGACCAGGCTTGTTAAAAACATTACCTTTGTTTTATAATTGCTTTGGATGCAACTCTCCAGTACTGAACTGATTATTTACTAATTTCAAACTGTTACAGTGACAGTTAGAGACATGTAAAAACTGATTTAGATTTTTTTTTTTCCTGCTGCTATGTCAACAGATGAAGAAAAAAACTTCTATTAATTTTTACCTGTGGTGTAAAGGCAACCTTACAGTATTGGGCAGAAGTGCCAGACACCTTTTTTATGAACCACTGGACCTGTTATATTTCATACTGTCCACAGAAATGGAGCTCTGTTCATAAGCAGGCAATTATTTCAGTCCTGTTTCCTGGCTGGTGGTAGGATTTTAGTGATGGGGTGCTGTAAAACTTGTGTTACTTTGCTGGGTCAGTAATTACAATCTTATTTTTCCAGAACTCTTCTGTGGCAGAATACTTCGCTGTATTGATCTTTCTCTTCCTGTGAAGAAGTAGTTACCAATTATTCAAATAGTACTGCAACAATGGATGCACATACTAGTGGTCTTAAGTGATTAGTCTGTATCACTTGATTGTGACTATTCTTATCTTAATACCTCACCTGTGTTTTAAGCAACTGAAATTTGTGAAGCAGTGGTCATGTTTCTGCCTTGAATGCAAAGCCGCCTGTCCTGGACAGTTACAGTATCACCTAAAATTCACCTAAAAGTTTATTTCCTCTGTCTGTCTTCCACACTGTGTGACAACTATGCAGTTCAGTGCTAAAAGAGTCACTGTTAAGTTTGGTTATGTTTTTTTTTTCTTTCAGTTTTTTTTTTTATGCTTTTATCTTTTTAGTTCATCTTGGATTCAATGAGAGACTTACTTGGAATAGTTGCAGGTTCCTAAAAGATTATCTTGATTTGTTGACTCAAACAAAATATAGATGTCCAAGACTGGACATTTCAAAATTTTCACTTTCAGAGATTTCTGAGTTACATCTTAGCTTACTTCTCCATATTGATTTTGTTAGGTGGATGATTTAACGCACCTTAATTCAGTTCCCCCCCCCCAGTATATGCAGAAATAGTTTTTCAGGTTGGCATTTTATTAGTAATTGATGAACATTATTGACTTACAAGTTTCAAATCAGAGCTTCATAGTTAAAACTTCAAATTATTTGCTAAGGTGTTCTAGTCATAGTAGGAATTTACTTCAGAATTCTTGAATGAATCTATGGCAAAAAAAAGTAAGTAGTAAATATTATGGGAATGTTAAAGACCAGACTAGTACTTGAATGCTCTGCTGTCCTGATCAAGTGTTGCGCAGGAAGAAAAATGACAGCTGCTTGAGCAATTTTTTTATCATCTTGCCTCTTGAGATGAATGCAATGCTGGCTGTAGAGTTTTGCCTTAAGGCAAAAATCATCTCTAACTGAGTTGGGAACTGACTACTGTAACGTATTTCTCCAGAGGGTATGTGACCCAGAAATACATCCAGAGTTGATGGCATTTTCTGAAAATGCTAAGTATTGGTAGCTTTTCTTTAAAACTTTGTGTGGATTATTGTTGATTAGGTGAACTTAACAAAGGGCTGATACAATTCAGCTTGTCTTTCTGTTTCTTAGCTTAGTTTTAGTTAAAGACTGAAGAGTGGAAGTTTGTGTGTTTTGCCTTTTCAAGAAGAATGGGGGAGGGGAAGGACCTTAATCTAAGAAGAGAAAGTAACAAAATAACAGCATTAAGTATTTGCAGTCTAGAGTTTATAAAGCTAGGAACATAGATTTATATTTAGATATTTTAAAATTGTCCAAAAGGAGAGGTATTGAACATACGTACCAGGTTCTCTGGAAGTTGTGTTACAGGAAGTTATGACAAATGGATGTCAAGCAAGATGCTATTTGATAGTGTACAATCTGTTTAAATCATTCACAAATAATCATTTGATGAAAAATTATAGTTTTGCATCACAAAACAATTTTTCTCCTGGAAAAAATGTTATCAATGTGTTCTTTCTACCTCCTCTTGGTTTGATTAGACCCAGGCTTTTTTTTGCAAGGCGAAAGTGGCTTACTAAATATTTATTGGCAATTGATTGCTAATACATACTGCTATTGCAGCATACTTGTGTATAAATTCTTAATAGTTTAAATACAGCAAATCAATAAATTTGCTTCATCTGTTTTATATCTGAAGGTTAACACTCTTCTGAGAGACATTAATGCATAAATAAAAAAAGGAGACTTTACTGTGACTTTATATGTGATGACAACATGATCTTCTAACTTAGACTATAAAGAGAATTCTTACTGTTACTTCATTCTTCTTTTTCCTTTTTTTTGTAACATCTTGCCATTCTTAACTATTTTGGATTTCTTTTTTCCTGTCTGTTAACAGTATGTGGGGTTTTTTTAAGTTTGGAAATTAGTACTCTTATGATGAAAGCATGTTTTACTATAGACACCCTTATAGCTGGTTACATTAATGGTGCTATAGAGACCATCTGATTTGCCATATAAATGTTGATGCTCCAGAATAATTCAGGATTCCAGTCAGTAGCTTGCTTTTTCTTCTGGATAGCCTTATACACATTCACTGCCCCATGTACTCTGTCATTTAGAGGTATAGAGCCAAACATATTGAAAGTGTGTGTCTCTAAAATAGGTAATAGTATTGCTGTTCTGAAGCTACCCTCAAAGAATTTTTCAGAACCTAAGATTATATTTACAATATTGTCACTTGCTTTTCCAATAGTAAAGATGACGCTATAGTTATTAACAAGCATGACAATTAATTTCACTGGAGAAATGTAGGCAAGATAAGGCAACTTAACTGTTCATGGAATTGACAGTAAGACTATGTTAGTTATCTAAGACTTGGACTTTAATTTAGTATGCTACTGGGATGAAGATTCTAATTTATTTGACTTAATTGATGTGTACTTGGAACTTGTATTAAGCAGGAAGGGAGATATCTTACTCTGAAAATAATTTTGAGGGAATAGGTTTAAGATACATAGAAGATACAGCATTAACACTCAGTAAGGAATAAATAAAACTAATCATATGCCTTTGACAATTTATGCCCTTTCTTCTGCATCTGTTGAATATTATTCAATGGTAAATCCTGAAGAAATTTGCTATGTGAAACCAAAAGCAAAAATTGGGGATTGTCTTTTCCTTTCTACCCTCCCTTCCTTCTTCCCTCATATTTATTTGTAAAATATTTATATGCTTGCATCACTGACCACCTGCAGCATGAGCTGTGTTTCTATGTTACCACTTACAGTGAGAAAACGTTTCAGTGAGATGATTGCCTAATTGGCAGTATCCAGCTGAGATAGAGTAAGGACAGGACATAATGTACGGATGAATGCTTAACAACAATTAGTCGTAGGAGTGTAGCAAATACTACCTTTAAGTGGAATTTGTAGTTTGTTTTGAAATAATGGATAGATAATCTTGGTGAAAAGGAATATAGATGTTGTTTTAAATAAAGACAGCAGAACTTTGAATCACTGTTTTTGCAGATTATGGGATGATACATAGTCGATAATGTAATATCAACTCATGACTCATTCTTAATTTTAATTTTAGTGTGTTATATAGAGAACTACTGCTCTCAAGGCTTAAAAAATCTGAATACTTTCATTCATACTTTATTTGCTGATGTAATTTTACTACTATACTATATGGTATATTTTTAAATATTTGTGTGAAGTATTTCTAACAGTATGCAAATATATGCCTAGTAGCAGTTATTTTTTAGTTAAAGTATTTTTAGTGTAGAATTGATAGACCTTCTTTACACTCCTAATCAGAATTCAGTAATTTTTTACTGTTCAAGAAACACTTAACTATAAAAATCCTTTTCTGAAACGAAAAGGTCTTTATTAGTGCCTGCTGGTTTTAGACTACTTGTAAAATATCAGATTGATGTTAATTGCACTTTACTCATTATAAATTGAATTGTACTGTGTGATGTAGTTGGTGCTTTTTGGCTAGAAAATAATCTGTTTACTAATAATCAAAGAACGTGGAATGACAATTTGTACATAGAAACATATCAAGCAGTGTGGAGTTTTTCATGTGACTTTTCAGCATTATTACTTGTAGAGATAAAAGATTTCTTGACGAGCTAGTGTTTTCTGTATGTTCACAGTAATTCTTACTTAATACTTTGCTTTGTGTTCCACTGCAGTATGAAGCAGTTTTGGTTTTAGTACTGTTGTTGATCTCTTTGCAGCACCCCAATACTCACTGGAAATAGCTGGATTTTTCAGTGGTTGTAAATTCGATCAGACCAGATTGTTTTTAGTAAAGTTAAGAAATAAGGTATAGATACAATTCTGCTTTTAAGATGTTGATTGTATGCACTATCATGTTTTGAAGTACTTGAATACTATTTTTCAAAAAGTCACAGCAGCAATATTGAAACTATTGACTGTGCTGAAAGGGTGACTTGGCCAGTTAGGTTCCCATAAACTTCACAACCTAACTGGGCTGGTTTTGCATTAAATTAGAACTCACATTTATTAATGAGTTCTGCATTTAGTTTCTTTGTACTGGAACTTTTTTTTTTTAAAGAGATTATAGCAATGGATGTTCCCAGAGGTACTCACAAAAATTAATGAATTCTTAATTTTGAAGATTAAAAAAGAATAAAATTCACTTGAAACTTAAAAAAATGAGTGAGTGTAATTCAGTTTGTCAAAATAGCTGTTTCATCTACAAGGAGTCTGTTTTGACCAAACTTAAATGAATTGTGCCCCTCTTGGAGTCATTTCTTCCTCAGTTAAATGAATGTTTACAACTCATTGACAAGGTAGTGCTACTACCATAATGATAAATGATTTACTAATGACACCTCTCCTATTTACATGCTTGACTGTGTTTGAATGCTTTCAATGTGTTTAACACTAAGGGTCTCTTTTCCTTTTTTTCTAGCAAGACCTCATGACTTCTTTGATGCGCAAACACTGGATGCTATAAGACATCGAGCCATCTGCTTTAACCTCTCGGCACATATAGAAAGTTTAGGAAAAGGCCACAGTGTTGTATTTCATAGTACCGTAAGTATATATATTATACATTCTATTTGTTTACCTATGTGTCTAAAAAATCTAATACTTCAGAAAGATTTCTGTTTTCTTCTTACTGCAGTAGGCATTTAATCAGAAGTAAGTAACAGTGGGTATTTTACGTTGTTGATCTGTCCATTTCTAGTAGTAAATTAACTTTTTACAAGTAGTGTTAATAGTTGTTCTAGCTCACAAATTGAATAGCTTGCAACATTTCCTGTCTGATACACTTGGGAAAATATCTAACAACAAGTATGTGTTGCAGAAAAATTTGTCTGTATCTTCTAAATAAGAATGCAATTCAGACGGCATTTCCATAGTTGTGAGTGTCAGTGCTAATTTATCACAAGGAATATTTTGAGGGTAATTGTATAATCGAATATTTAAAGATGCTGATCTGAAATTTGGTTTTATTCCTTGTTTTCACTTTAAAAGATATAATCCTGAATAAGTGTATTGTCCCCCCCCCTTTTCTTTTCTTTTAGTAAACTTACTACCAAAATGTCAGTGAATTGCTAGAAGGAGAGAAGTACCAGGTGGGAAACTGGCCTTTAGTCCTGTTTCCACATACTGTTTTGTTAATTTCACTTGTGTTTGGATAGGCTAGACATCAGGATTAATTTAGAAAAGTTCATAATGGGGAAAAAAAAGCACTGAATTGGGGTACAGGGATCAGAAGTTCAAAAAGCTATGTAATCTCAGGTTTTCTTAACCAAATTGGGAGATATGGGCACATAAAAGGTAGAGACTCAGCTGAAGAAAAAAATGAAGAGATGGGACAAAATGGGGGGGGTGAGGGGGAGCACGCTTTGTAAATTGGCAGACTAGTGCAAGATGAACTGCAAATTGTCCAGAGAAGGAATGCTGACTGCTGTGTCTTCAGTTATGGCTTAAGGTTAACACATGATTCAAACTATTGAACTGTCAGTCTTTCCGTAAATAAAAGTTGATTTTATGTGCGTGAAAATTATTTCGTCCTGTTCTACAAGACTGATGATTGCTATAAATATCTGTGGCCTGTATTAGAAATTTTTCCCAAATGATTATTCCTGAACTTTATGTGCATTGAGCACCAGCTGCAAGTGGAGGTTTGCAGGTGGCTGAGCTGTTACTGTATTTAAATCTCATTCTAGTTTTGCTGGCCAACATGGATTTTACAATGCTGTGAGAAAAGCAGATTCTCTTCCAATTCACAGCTTGCTTTAATCTGAAAGGTTATCCAGACAGACCACTCAGTTGTGGAAGCTCACCTCTGGCTATTGGAATAATTCATAGGAGATGGAATTAGAGGGAGGAATGTGCTCTAAAACTGCTTCGAATTAACTTGGAGGAAGTGGTGAAAATCCTTTTAGCTTATCCATGCATGCGTCACTTGAGATGGTAGGGGGTTGATTAGATCTGAAATTGCTTCAGCTTCATTTGTGGGAGAGGTTGTAGCAGTGGGAGAACTGTTCTAAGATTCCAGCCCTATGCTGCACTTTGCTACCCTATTTTCGTGTGCTGCTACAGTTGCGTTGGGCTTGTGCTGGACATCAGCTATATTGATGAGATTGAGCCTAAAAACTGCTTTAAAAAGAAAAGGTGCAATAGAAGCAATCTTGCGGATGTACACTGTTATACTGAGCTAGTGGTCACGTCTGATGCAAACACATTTTATACAATTTAAAAGCATTAGGACATTGAATTTGAATAGTGACGGGCTAAATAGTATAATAAAGTTTGCGTGGTCCACCTTCAGAAAAAATGTGTAATTATGAGGGGCATTAATTTGAAAGGTGAAAAAAATGAAGATAAAATTGTCTTGCTGTCTGAAAACTGACATAAATTATGTAGGTTTATCTTTTTTATGCAGCATAAGAATAATGTCAGCACGATGCAGTATTTTACAAGATGCATATCCTAGTAAAAAATTATTAATGTGAATAATTTTTAAGCAATCACTGTAGGTACATTTCGTCTCCTATGAAAATGCACTGCTTTTATATATTTTTCTTTTAAACTCATCCTTTTCTTTATAGATGTGGAAAGCTGTAGAATGCAGTTATCAATAAAGCCTTTTTGAAGAAACGTTTTTTGCCATCCAGGGTTCATCTTTGACTTCTTTATGTGTTTTTTTTCTGCTTAGCTTTTTTTATTGGAGTCAAATTCTTGGTACTTTGATTCCCTGAATTGTCAGATGGAGAAAGTCAAGCATTTCCATTTAACCTAAAGAGCAGATACTATACTGATTAAAAACCGCAGCTTATAGGTTACCCTGTCTTCCATGCCCCCCCCTGTTTTTTGAAATGGCTAGAATTAATTCTCTAAAATACTTGAATACTAAAGTGTTCTTCACTGTTTTTAGCTTTTTCAGATATTTCAGTTCAGCAATCACATGTATTGATACTAGTTTTATGTGTTTTGAAATCTTGAAACTTTCAAACACAATAAGTGAGTAAAGTAAGACGCATACCAATTTATAGGGTGAATTTTTTTTCATCTTCCAGAAGAGGTCAGCAGAACTCCATTTCTGATTTGAGACAACTCTGATGCACGTTTCCTTCACAGAGATAAATTCAAATTAAATTTCCCTTTTGTTTCTGGGACAGTGCATGAAATTTAAAGAATATAGTAAGAGTCTTTTTCAAATAAAGCTGTACTGAGCATACATCTAGTGGCTGAATTAAATTTTTAAATGAAAAACTTAAATGGACTTGAGTTCTTTACAAAATATTTTTAAGTCTTCAAAGCATCATTATTGCAGACATGCTAGACTTCTTCCATTTCATTTGTAACTCTTGCAGACTTGACTATAAAGCTCTGATTACTAGTGTCAAAATAGCAAATAATTTTTTCAATTGCTTTTTGCAAAACTTTTGCAATTTTGCATTTGTCTGCATCAGAGCTGTGTTTCTGACTCTAGCCTGCCTAGCGTATGGTAAAATTTTCATTGCACTAATTGTGATAAAATTGAATACTTTTTATATTAAAACTTTTTAAAATTTTACAATTTCAAAATATATGTGGGAAAAAGCAATGACAGCTATAGATGCCAGATTTCTGTTGTCGCCTAACAGAAAGCTAGCATACTACTTTAATATTAAACAAAGATAGGCTTGTTCCATATATGGAAAGAGGATCTTCCATCCCAGTCAAAAACAAGTGAATTGCTCAGATTTTGAATATTGATAATTTAGTAGGGACAAGAGAAGCCAATGATATGGGGAAAATGTCTGCAAAATTCACATTGGATACAAGTATATCTCTCTCTGTGAAAGCATCCTAGCTATAACTTTCATAGTTTTCATGTATTATATATGATTAGCTCTTCTGTTATGAAAAAGGTTTTTTTTTTTTTATTTTCTACTGCTGAAAGTTACTTTATCCTCCTGTCAAACTTCTGTGTGTGTGAGAAAGCTGGTTCAAGCCCTTAGTTTAAGCACTGATTGCTTGAAGATGTTACTAGGGCTCTAGAATAAGAAAATGGTACTTGCAGTGGTACAATTCAGGCAGTACTTGAATTGCCCTAAATTTTGTACCTTGAATTTCTTTTGCACATCAGTGTTTCATTTTTTTTGAGTTTTTACAAATATCTCTCTTTTCAGTGTGTTGATGGTAAGACAGGAGACTCCTAAATTTTGTACTGAAAATGAGAAATTGTTAATGTCAGTTTGTACTTTTTTTTTTTTCTCCCGGTTGGAGAATGCGGGTGGCGATATTGGGTGGTTCTCACAGAGATCTATGGTGTTCTGGAACCACCATGAATTATATTGTAAATCCCTGTAGAAGCAGTGCTATTGATCATATGATAGAGGGACAGCAACCCCAGCTTTAACTAGTACTTAGATGTAATATGCATCTGTGTCTTGCGTGGGTCCCCCGCAGGGCCACAAGTCCTGCCAGAAAACCTGCTCCAGCGTGGGGTCCTCTCTCCATGGGGCCACAGGTCCTGTCGGGACCCTGCTCCAGCGCAGGCTTCCCACGGGGTCACAGCCTCCTTCAGGCACCCACCTGCTCCGGCGTGGGGTCCTCCATGGGCTGCAGGTGGAGATCTGCTCCACCGTGGACCTCCCTGGGCTGCAGGGGGACAGAGGGACAGCCTGCCTCACCATGGTCTTCACTACAGGTTGCAGGGGAATCTCTGCTCCGGCGCCTGGAGCACCTCCTGCCCCTCCTTCTGCACTGACCTGGGGTCTGGAGGGCTGGTGCTCTCACATGTTCTCGCTCCTCTCTCTGCTGCTGTTGTTCTTTTTTTTTTTTTCCACCCTTTTTAAATAGTTATCCCAGAGGCACTACCACCGTCACTGACGGGCTTGGGCCAGCGGTGGGTCCGTCTCAGAGCCGGCTGGCATTGGCTCTGTCGGACACAGGGGAAGCTTCTAGCAGCTTCTCACAGACGCCACCCTTGTAGGTGTCTCTCCCCCACCCCCTGCCCTGCTCCAGCCTTGCCATGCAAACCCAATATTCCAGTTCTCATCTACAAGCATATTGATACCTTCAGATATCATATATCTGTATTAATAATCTGGCTGTTAAATCCATGGTCACTTTTCTCGGCATCATTTTTGTTTAGAGGATCACTGCATAGTTGTAAAAATAAAACTTTAAACACATTTGTGAATTCCTTGAAATGTAATGACTAAGTTTAATATACCATGATATTTAGTTGTGGGAAATTGGTTTGGTTGATGCAGATTATGGACTTCAGTATTTAAGTTCTGTATGCATTTTACTTTAGCCTTTTTCGTAAAGATCACTTGCCACCCTTCTGTATTTCTGTGCTTTAAAGGTTCTCTAGTAAACTTTTGGAGTTTACAGTATCTGCAGTGACTGTGTAGTTGAAAGATTTAGTAAGCTTTTTATGCTCAGAGGTGCGGAAAGTGGGAGAATTGGTGTTTGAAGCAAATAGGGAAAATCTGTATGAAGTATTGTGACGTAGTAAAGGAGAAGGTGAGGGTAAATCAGTAGAAGAGGAAGCAAATGGCTTTTCCCTGTGTTTCTGGATACTGTAAATTATTGGGGTACCTTCTGAATGCTGGTGTTAAAGAATATATTTGTACCTGAATGAACAATATCTTTTTTATACTTTCTCTGTGTGGATTTCTAACTTTATCATGGCTAAAGGTGGGAGTATAGCTTCAGGGTCCTTCACCTGAAAACTATTCTCTGTGAGAGTATCTTATGTGCTGGTCTACTGTGAGCTAGTATGAGAAACTGAGAAAGGAGTTCTCACTTCTTGTCCAGGACCTTACCAGGGGAGTACGTATGTTCTGCTTACACTCTATCAATTGTTCACAGGTTTTTGACATGTCATTTGATTTGTCATTCATATAACAACAGTAGCAATTGTACTCTCTACAGTGTTAAGGGTCCCTGTTATGTATGCATTAAACAATCTGTCAGCCTTTGCCTCATTCAGTTCTTCGTTTAGGTATTGAAAAGCAATGAGTAAAGGTTAATTAGAAAGTTATACGTATGACGTGTCCAGATGTTAAAGCATTTGTGAGAGAAAATTTTATCCTTATGCCATGCTATAATTAAACTATAAGCCGCATCAGTTTCTCACACCTTCTATAGATGTCTTGTGGAACTACATGAGCATATTTGTAGAAGAATGTATGTTCTTCAAAGCTTTTGGAGTAGCTGCTTAAAAATTTGAACTATTTTAAAAGAAAGAAGACTACTTACAGGATGCGTTTTGTGGGTTTTGGTTTTTTTTTTTCAGGGATCACTCAGTAGACAAATGTTAAAGGAAAATATTAAACCTTGCCAAGAATGGCTTCAGTAGTGAAATATACTTTCTACTTATATATAGAATTAATAGAACTTTCAAAGAGTAAAACAGTTTGGCTTTTATGAATGTCCAGTTGAACATGAAGAACAACAGTTTTTGAGAACAAATCTGCATATTTGGTTTTAATTATGATTTATGTAATTATTATCAGGTAATAGCTAAAAGAAAAGAAGATTCTGGAAAAATAAAACTCTTGCTTCATTGGACACCAGAGGACATGTGAGTATATTGCTAGTGATACAGGACTTAAATGGGGAAGGATTTACAGTGGGGTAAATGAACTGTCTGTTACTAAATTATGTTACACCTTTGAGTATTTAAATTAAAGTTCATGTTGTAAAAAATGGGTTTTAGAAAGTAATCTAGAAGTTTAAAAAATAATAAGCAATGCTTCAATTGATTTTTACTTTAGCTTTCAAGTCTTTAGACTCTGATACCAGTTCGGGTAAATTTGAAGCTGTATTTTTGATGCATTTTGTCACTATGGGTGTTAATAACAAAGTCCTCTAATTATTCAGTGAAGAGTTCAGGTTGGTTTTTCCAGCCGTATACATAAGGAAATTTATCACTGAGACAACTTTGTTTTACCCGCTGATTCATCATGATCCTGAAATACTTTTAGATACTGAAAAATGTACAATCATCAGTGTAACAGTAATACTACAAGAATCTTTGCCTAGCTGCCACAATTTAACAGTGTAATAACCACAGTTGGCCCTTTAAGGTATCCATCTCATATTGCTGCTTCTTTGGATTCTCCCATGGAAGCTTGGAATACTCTTCCAGCATGTTTGGCTGCTTTTTTTCTCTTCCAGCCCACCTCCCTCAAAGTTCTGCCTCGTTCCAAATGGGTAGCCTTGTGTGTAATACAGGATGAAGGTACTTCCCTTGGGTAGGCTTGGGACATGTGAAGTAGTAAATGTACTTTAGAAATAATTTATCTATTTCTTTGAAATAGCTGAGATCTCGTATCTTTCTTCTGACACAGAAAAGAATTTTTATGTAAATACTTTGATCTTAATTATATGGAAAAGTAGAATGAATGTTTTGTTTCCACTATGCTGTAGGAGAGCAGTAGGCAGAGTAGTTTTAGGAGAGGCAGTAGGTGTATGCTCCATGTCTTCCACAAGTTTTAAGGTGATTAACTACTTTCCTTTTAAAGGTAAGAATAATTATAATGGAACTTATTTCTTGGATCCATAATCCTGCATACCGATTCCTGGATCCATGGTCCTCCATACAGATGAAGTTACTAGGATGTTTAGTTCACATTAAGATGGAAGTTACTGAGACGTTTAGCTCACGCTGAGGTGAATAGCTGCATAATTAGGTAGGACCTGCAGGTTTAGAGGCTCTTTCTTAAAAGGAACTTGAGTTTTACCAGGAAGATATCTCTAAATTGGTAGAATTGTTTAGGTAAGGATATCTAAGCTTCAGATGAAATAGTCATAGTTCATGCAATTAAATTTTAGAACAGGGGGATCTTTTAGATTCAGTGCTGCTTTTAAGTGAGTGAGTGGGATGGTGATCCTAAGCCTTAGCATAACAGAAATTTACCTTTGCTTTGGTGGTTTAAATTAACTCAATTTTGTAGTGTCCCGAATTAGCTGTGTGCAGTAGTGTGGACTTGGCAGTGTGAATCTATTATAACTTTTATTTGCAGAGGACTAGGGTTGCTCATAAGTTATCCACAGCAACATTTGGCATTTTGTTGCAATTTTAAAGTGTCTTTAGCTTTTGCTGCTCGTTGCAGCACTTGTAGACTACAAGTTTCGATTCAGTTTGGGAGAGAATAACTAAAATATTCTAGTAAAAAGTGTAGTTTCTTGCTTCCTTTTAGGACAGCTGGTAATACTGCATGTAACAGCTTTCTAAAATTGTTCTTATTAAAATATTACAGATAAAGACAGTTAATGGCATTTTAAGATAAAAAGCATTTTTAAAAAGCATATAACACTCTGGGAAAATGAAAAGTAAATAAAAAATCACAGTACTTTTTTCCTAATACAGAGTCTAATGAGTTTTTTGCTCATGCAGATGAATACAATATTAGAATCTCTGCATTGGAGAAGACAAGTTATTCACTAATGTTAAGACATCCCTGATAGAATGTAGATTTGGTTGTCAGGTCAAAGGAATAACGTGTTTTATATTTATATTTCTTGCCTCTTGATTGGGTTAGGTAGACGGTATATTTCCTGTACCGAATGATGTAGTTTTGAATTATTGAGTGTTGAGTAGATTCAATTTCATCTTGGTTATTACAGTTAAGAACAGCAAATGCAAGGTATCATTGCTCATGTCATCCATCTGTCTTACACAGTGAATGTGTAAGACACTTGCACATACATACACTTTAGAAAAGTTGGATACAGTCATGATGATTACTTTCCATTGTGCTGAGCTGTTCATCAGCCTTTCAGATGGAACTGGTAATAATGATTTAACTTTTTCTACTCTGAGTTGTCTTGAGAAACTGTTAAACTGCTCCAGGTCATCTGTACATTAAGTAGTTTTTCAGGAAAAGTTAATACTGGTCTTTAACCTGTTTCCTATACAAGAGGGAAATAACTTTTAGAGCAGGAGTTCATTCTTTGTGCCAGTACTTCTTAGCTTACTGAGTTGTTGTCTTTATATTTCAAATAGTCTTTGCAAGTGAAAAGTTTTCTTATTTGCTGTTTGTATCGCTTTGCATCTTCAGCATATAGCTTCTACTAAAAATGTCTTCCAAATATTGCTTGTCAAAAAAAAAATATTTTGGGTTTATTTAAAAAAAAAAAGTCTTATGATGTTTTTTCACCTTTCATGATCCATATTAAACCTTAGTAGATATATGGATTGCCTCCTGGGTAGTCCCCCCCTCCTTTACCTACTGGGATAGAAGTTCTCTGTTTCATTGCATTTTTTGGATGGTTTACCCAAAAAATTGAATTTGACTTACAGCTAACTTTCATTTGCTGAAAAATAGAGATTCAGTTTAATAATTCACGAAAGTCTGTAAAATTGCATATAACTTTGGTCAGAGAAAGAACTGTTTCATTTAGAGGGTCTTAAATATTGAGTTTCTCAATTTGAAACTTGTTTTAAAACATTAGAATTCTTAACTACAAACTTAAACTTCTTCCCCAACCTGAAATTAATTTTTGGCTCCTAGGTCACGTTTACAAAAAAAAAAAAAAAAGTCTTTTTGTGGGCTGAAAATAATCTTAAGGGGTTTTTGGTTTGGGTTTGTTTTTTATTTTCTTTCTTGGGGGGTTGTTTTTTTTTCTTTTTTTTTTTTTTTTTCCAATAGTGGAAGCAAAATGGATCACTTGTTTGTTCTGCACAGCCTTGATCAATGCTAACTTTTGGAAGGAGGCAGGAAAGCGTGTTTTCAGTAAGACATTCATGACCTCTGCAAGCCCAGTGCCTCTCATAAGAATGTGTTACCTGAAAACCTCAGCAGGGCCTTAAAAACACAATGTGGTTTCAGTAAAAGAAGCAATAATGCAATAAGGCACTCTGAAGTAGGCATATTTTGTTTCAAAGACTTGAAGTACGAAACGTGGATCAATTGTGTATGTTATCTCCAGCCCTCTTCCCCAAGTTTCACTGCAAGTGGCACTGAAACAACAATTCCCTTTAATGTGTAAAGACTGAGTTTTATTCCATCTCACAATGAGAACGGTGACATAGCCAAAATATTTTGTGGTGATTGTCTGGATTTCCTGAGAAGATAATCAAACAATTAACTTCAGTAAAGTGGGAACATTTTGACATTGAAAGCTTTGAACTTGGAGCAAGCAATTTAGTATAACTTGAAGCTCAGTGCCTGCAGTATATGGTGGCCTTTACTTGCTTTTTTAACAGTGTCAAAGAATTTTATGTCCAGTTAAATAATGTATTTTCAAAGATCTGTTGTTTTACCTGCTACCCATTTTCACATTAAATTGTTAAAATAGAGAATGTAGTGCCATTATCATTGTATGTTTAGTTTAGTATTCTTCTGGAATAATCTAAAATCTGTTATGTATCTTTCTCACACTGAGAGAAAAACTTTGAAGTATAATATGTAAAGATTGGCTGTCTTTTCCTCACTCCAGTGAAGATGCTTTTTAACCAGTGAAATGTGAAGATTACTTTAAAAAACTTCATATGTACTAGTTTACCGCATAATTTTATGGTAAGAAAAACGGTTGATCTTTTTTGAATATTTTTATTTTATTTATTTATTCATAGTCTGCCTGATGTGTGGGTAAATGAAAGTGAGCGACATCAGTTAAAAACTAAAGTAGTACATTTATCAAAACTACCAAAAGATACTGCCTTGCTTCTGGACCCAAACATATACAGGTAATGTCCTAATTTTGAAACTTTCCTTACTTAAATATAGTCTTAAGCCTCACTTAACTTTTTGACGTTGGAAAATCAGGATTGCTAATATATTATACACCAGACCAGGGAGCTTCAATCCTGTCAGCGTCCAGGAGTTAAGTTCTGAGGTCTTAAGTTGTTTCAGAATTACTTAACTTCTTGAACTGAACTCTAGTTACTGAGAAACGGGGAATGTTTGTATTTACCAAGTGTATTTTACTTTTTTGTGCTTGGTGTACAGAAATTCTAGTAAAGGAGGTACATACAGTGGAATCCTGAAAGATCACTTCTGTTAAGATCACATACTGGTTTGTATACCAATTTTTTTAAAGTCCAAATTTATCTTTACATATTTTATATTCAACTGTAATACATGCAGTATTACCTTGAAATCTGTACTTGTATACAAGTACTGTTATTTTTTAATACGAGATTCTTTAGAGGGGGACAGAAGGGGACAGTACATGTTACTTGTCTTTAAGCTGCATTCACATTTGTGTTTTTAGGACTTCAGATTGGCTTCTAATCCATCTTGTTTCTAATAATCTCCTGATTTTCCTCCCCCCCTTTATTAGTGTGCTCACATAATTGTCAGTACCCACAGTTCTGTGTGTGTACAGTTTTTAAAGGTAATCTGAAATGCTTAATTCACTCTTCAAGTTTTTGAACGTCCAAAGATACATATTTATGGACTTATACTAAAAATCCATGAAAGTGGGTTTGGGGAAAAAAAGAAGTTTTTTCTGCCATAAACAGAAATTCAGTGTTCCTACGTTTCTTCTTTAACATCTAGTGACCTAGTGTCTAAAGGAGTAACTAGAACACTTATCTGAGGTCTTGATATGTAATAAGCCTTTCAGTTCACCTTTAATATTCAGTGTATTTCACTAATCAAATTAATGAGAACTTGGTTTACAATATGAAAATAAATCATCATACTATATCTGCTATCTTTGTAAATGTAAGTATTTAAAATACTTACTTTTAGTATATGAATTACTGATGTTAACATTAAATCATAAAAAAGTTATGAGGAAATTGGATTGTGTTTTTTAAAACTGCTTAACACAGTGACTGTTTTATAATCTTATTTAAGTGTTAATTATTTATATATTGATTACCTTTGCAGAACTTGACAATTATTTTGATTTGAAAAGGAAAAAATAACCCTTTAAAATAAAAATGTAATGGACTTTGGGATTAAGCCCCTGGAGAAAAATGAGCAAGCCCTTCTACCTCTCCCAAATAAAATTAAGGTCCCCTCACATAATGTTGTACAGATTTTTAGCAGTATAGATCAGTGTGTGATTAAAAAGAGCTTTGGGACCAACTGTGGGAGATTAAAGAAATAAAGTTGAAGACCAAAACTTTGCAAGGGGAAAAAAGTGGTTAAGGGAATTCAGTGACAGCTATAATGTCATGCTAAAATGATGACTCCAATAGAAAGTTTGAAATAATTCTCTGAAACGTATGCTAATATGGGATCATTTAAAATGGCTTTCAGTTTTAATCAAATTAAATGAAAGTAGATTTTAAATAGTCATAAATTCATAGCATACACTAGCTGATCAAATTTACATCTCAGGGTCTTTATGTAAAACTGTACTATTTTCTTTTACAGAACAATGCCCCAGAAGAGGTTGAAGAGGTAAAAACCAAGCAAGTGGGGACACCTGCAGTCTTAGTCACTGACAATGGATTTAGAAATAAAGTTGCACATTAGTCAAATCCCATCCTTTTTTTTTTTTTTTCTTAGATAAGTATTTATGCTTAGTGTAAACATTCTGTGAATGAAGTTGATGCTTCCGTGGAATATATTAATATATTACTGTATATCCACATTTTCATGGAATGGTACAGTGGGAGACTGAGCAAACACTCTTCTGGCAACTTAGTGGAACAACTAAAAGGCTTTGCATGCTTGCTTCTTTAAGCTGCTTTTTTCTTTAGTGAATACAGTAGTTTATATTTGATGAAAAGAAAAAGTAACCATCACCATTTATTCACAATTCCCAGGAGAACTGTTAACAAGCTATTAGTCTTTTTGTCAATGTTAACTAAATATAACATATGCCAGACAATAAAACAGCTACCAAGGGATTATCCTGTTGCCCTTTGAGTATGGTGGATAGTAATCATTTGTCATTTGTAATCTCGTGTCCTTTTGCAGATCCCTAAAATATGTTGGATTATAATGTTTAAACAAATGTTGATGGAATGCTTGTCTTTTCCAATCAACTATGAGTACATATAGTACGGTTTAAAGATGTTAAGAGTGTTGCAGTACGTCTGACCCCCTTTTCAGGAGTAGTATAGTATGTTAATGAGATCTGCTTTTATGTGATCCGTATCAATGGACGGTTTTTGAAAAACCTGTACTTAAGCAGTTAGTGTTATTGGTGTTTTATTTTACTTTTTTGACCCTTTAGAATCCCCATTCACTTGTAAAGTATACTTTTTTATTTGGCCTAATGTTTTCTAGATGTAAAGAAAATGGTATTTTTTAAAAAAAATAAATCTAGAAATTCAATCCTTTATGCACCAAAGTTGGCTTTGAAAAGGAAAGTAAAATCATTTTCTTGCTTAATAAGCAAGAAGCCGTGGATTTTTTTTAACTGACAAATAGAGATGTGTCTAACCTGTTAGTCTTTGTATGGAGACAAAAATGTTGCATATAGATAATAGGACATTGCTTGTAAATATTTCAGCAGATTTGTAATATATTTTTATATTATGAAATGTACTGTAGATGTTTTTCTAGAGGCATGAAAGTTAAAATGTATATATTACGGTAGAAATAATATTGAAGGATATTGTAATTCACTAGTGCTGCCAGAAGAATTGTTTAAAAAAAAGCACCTTCCTTAACAATAAAAAACCCCCTTCTTTTACATACCTAAGGGACTATATACTACTGTTAATATCTGTTGTAAGAACAAAAATACATTGAACATCCTTCCCAGAAATCTTAGAGGGATGAATAGTACCCATAATTAATTCATGGCACTCCTTTCTAATAGTGAACGTGAAATTAGTTTTTTCCTTACTATTGGAAGGAACTAATATGTAAAATTTGTACGGATATATGCAGTCAAACTGCAGAGTTAGTCCTCCTTATTTGGGAGGAATTTACTACAGTGAAACTAATAACCAGCAGTTTTTACACTAAATTTTTATTAAATAGAATAAAACTTAAAGTAACCCTTTGGTTGCAGAAGTGAGCATATCCTAATATAATACAAATGCATTCTGCATTGGTACTGACACGAGAGTCTTGCTTAGCTCCAGTGGGTTAAAAATGTTACTTATATACACAAAAAAAAAAAAAAAAAATCTTATCAAACGAAATGAAGTGCAGATTAAAAGCACCACTAATATAAGATGTTCTGGAATGGTTGTTTAATAAGGGTATTATTCATAAAATCTGTAGTGATGTGACTTTATTTTTGAAAAAATGCAGTGTTTTGGTTTTTTTTTTTGCTTGAGCACTTCACCTACTGCTTTTTCTGTACCTATAAAGTAATCCGTAATCTTTGTTTCTTTTTTTGAATTTGTTATAAAATTGCCAAATAGAAGTGTTTCAGATATAGTTTGTATTTGTATTTTTTTAATTTTATTGCTTCATGAGTTTCTTGTAAGTCATTTATAATTGACAGATGATTGTAGACCTTGCCTGAGTATTTTTTCTAATAAAACAAAGCAAACAAACCTCATTAGCTTCAAAATTGTAAGATTTGAATGAAGTTTTCAAAGATAGATATAAAATTGTCACTATCTATTTCCTCTATAACACACGTACCTTTACAAAACGGGGAATTCATGGATTCAAGTCATGTATTGTTCATGGAAACTGAATTTCTTTTCTTGGGTTTGAGAAACGTATTATCTGGTGTTCTCATGGTACAGCTTCTGTCTTGGAAGGAAAAATCAGTTTAAATTCAAAATATCTGTGAACAAATGGATATGTTGGAATTAATTAAACTTTCCATAGTAGTAAAAGGTAAGTGGACTTTTGGCTGGTTTATACCTTGAAGTTATCAAAGTGAATTGCTAAAACTGTTTATGCTTGAAAGTTGTTTCTGTTCTACAAATTATGTAATTATTTGGTGGTGTTTTATGTTTCAAATGACAGTCATGCCTCTCTAAAGCTCCACTTCAGTTTTTGTATGTGTCGCTGGATGAATTTCAGTTTTGTTAGAGTACCAGATACATGGAACTGGCACAGCTTGCTGGGAGGCATTGATCACTTTATTCTGAAAAATATCTTACTGCTCTTATTGTCCTTCTTGAAAAGTGTTAATGAAATAATTGGCCCTTCCTCTTTTGAGTAGTTCCATGTGCTTTCTTTCGGCATGTAACATGTAGAGGTTTCCTCCTGTCTCTCAAGACCTTTTTTTTTTTTTTTTTAATAGATTTTCCAAAAACCTACAGAATGCATTCCCTCCCAGCTGGAGTGTTTTTCTTTGTAGAGAAATGTCACCAAGAAAAACCTGTAGTTATTTTACCCTTTGCTGCAGTCTTTCTGGACTGCTCTAATGAGTAACTATATAAATATCGTAAATTTATACTTTTTTGCTTAGAGGTTCTTTATTATCTTTAACACATTATAGAAGGTGAGCAAAAGAAAATGGCTGATTTTACAGTTGAAGTTAAACCCTGGCAAAATACACTGGAGTGTGTACTCCACGAGGAGAGGCTGAGGGACCTGGACAAGCTCAGCCTGCAAAAGAGAAATCTTTGGGGGAACCGAACAGCAGCCTTTCAGTACCTAAGATGTTACCAGGAAGGTGGAGCCAGCTCACTTAAAACTACACAGCCCGAGGGTGAGAGTCAGTGGTCATAAATTGAAATGGGAGATTTTTTTCGCTCTGAGGATAGTAAAGCATTGAAACAGATTACTCCAAGGGATCCCAGAAATCTCTGTCCTTGACGGCTTTCAAGATCCAGCTAAAGCCCTGACCAACATGTTCTGGATTCAGTGTTGTTGGTGTTGCACTGAGCAGGAGTGGACCTCCCTTGGAGGTCCCTCCCGACATGAATTGTTCTGTGTTGCTGTGATTCAGAACTAAGCAGGCTTTCTCTTCCAGCCCGCATGCTCAGGAAGACATCAGCTATGTTTAGATCACATTAGCAAGCTGTTCATATGTTTGTAGATCATGGCTAGAGTTGGAGCTGTTTGAATTGAAAACTGATCAGCTGTGGCAGTAACTTGGATCTGGGGCTTTAGTCTGTGTTTGGTTTGGCCTACGATATGTTTGAACTACACTGGCACTATCGTCTTAAGGTAGATGATGATGCTTGAGGATGTGGGTCAGAAAAGGGTGTGGGATGGAATGTTTATTCCTTCGCTGTCAGGTGACACCATTTTCAGAAATCTCAAATGTGTTTGTGGATGTCTTGGGTTATCTTATTTCTGGGACACATTTAAAGAGGAAGTACTGAATGAAGCTCTTTGAAAGTCACACTTTTCAGGAGTTGCAGTGCACCCAAGTAGCTGTGCCCAAAATCACCCGTCCTTTTGGAATGTGTTGGCTTGAATTTTACAGTTTTCTACAGCTGAATAACAGGATTTTTGAGTGAGGAGTGCTGTTTTGGGACTGAAGAACATGTCTGCCTTTTGCTTAAGTGGATGGAAATTTTTGTCTGGGAAGACTTGCTAGCATTTGAGCATAGTATACAGCTGACTTTTTTAAACTAGGTCTCGTTCTGTCTACTAAAGCACTTTAATAGATGGAGCAGAAACACATCAGTTTTTTTCTAATACTCATATTGCATATAAGTTTCTCTGAAGTTACTGTGATTTTTCAGTTTGGGGCCAAATTGCATAATATGCAACACTGTATATTTTTTCCTTTACTTCTATATTCTATTAAGTAATTATATCAGTAGTTTCCGATTTACATATTAAAACTGGCCTAGCTTCATTTGGGAACAAATAGGTTAATTATGTTTAAATCTGCATTGGTTTTAATAATAGGAATTTAAGTGGTTGATTTCAGCTTTTCAATGCAGCATGTGAATTGGTTATCGTAGAAGACCAGTCTTATTTAATACTTCAGTCTGAAATAGATGATATATTCTCACTTAATTCTTTCTTGCCTTGACATTTTAAACTTGCGTATGAACCTATCATTTCTCTTGTCACATTAATGTATGACAAGTACAACAAAAAAAAAATCATCTCATCAGGAAAGTTGGCTTTTAAAAAAGCAGCTGAATCTATGGTTTCTTTCAGTCATTTTCTATAAGTTGTTAAGCAGACATTCTGTGAATGGCTCCTATATGCACAAGGCTGTAAAAGTAAAATAAACAGCTTGATCCCTGAAACAAGATACTCTAAACAAAACATTCCAGCAGCAGAAGATGGCCTTAACATCACATGGATTTTCTTAGTCAGTTAAAAGATGCCCTTAGATCTGTTAGTTATCCTGGTGTTTACTTATTCCAACCAAAGAATACTCTTTGGTAAACTATGTTGCTTCAACTTTTAATAAAAATTTCTGAATTAACGCATTTTGGGGGGAAAAAAGCCCCACCTGCACTACTGTTTTGAGCAATACGAGGGAAAAAATATTTTAAAATAAAGAATATCCATTTTTTCATGCCTTTTCAGTAAGACCCCTTTTTCTAAAATACTGTGTGCATGCAATTATATAAATCAAGACTAAAAGAATGAATACTCATTAATACAGCTGTAGTCTCCTAGTGCTTACAATGAGAAGAATTGGGTATAAAAACTAGAGGTGAATCTCTCTAAATATATTTATGAGAAGAATTGTTACAGTGCTGAAGGGCTTCACTTTTGTAATCTCTATTATAATATTTTTAATAACGTAGGATGAACTAAAATCTGACCAACAATAAAACCTGATACTCCTGGAAGATTAAAATTTTTTTTCAGCCGTCTGTTCTGTTAAGTTTCCCTGAATATAGCTGACAAAGTAGAAAAAACAAATAGATCTAGATATGCTGTCAAATCTTCGGTTATCTCCTGGAGGGGGATAAAAAAGCCAGATTATTTTTTTTGTGTTTAAAGCAGAACGTTGGTTCCAGGAGACAGGAGCTGTGAATTTACTCCTTCCAGGTAAGAAACTGGTGATGAGCATAGACCAGTGTTGCAACTTGGGGTTTTGGATTTTGACTGGAAATGGCAATGCTGAGAATTTGTTTTTCTACTGTGTAACAGCAGCTGTCCTTACAGTGAAAAAGTCTCCCCAGACTATACGTCCATGTGTCTTAATTTTTATACTACAGTATAGAGTACTCTGTATGGTAATCTACAGAGTATGCGTGTTTGGGGTTTGGTGTAGCTTTATCAAAATCCTGTGTAATAACTGCTTTGTATTTTTCTTCATTTTAATGAAATGTATAGTTGGAAAGCTGTTGTCTGCCTCTTAATGCTCTAATTCTTTTCTAGAGAAGAGTTAAAATCAAGATGTCTTCAATGTCACAATGTACCTTAGAGCAGAATAAAGAAATGTAGTTTGAAGTGTAAAGAGAATAAAATGGTGTTGATCGCATACTAAAAGTGGGCTGTTGGTTGACAGCCAGGTACGGGTAAATTCAACTCTTGCAGTTGTTTGTGAAGATTAATGTGCTGTGATTCATGCTACATTATTTGTTTTTACTAATTCTAAAAATGGCCCCTTTTCACTTGTGTAAATCCTCCTTGGTAGTAGAGTAACAAATAATAAGTAATATGATAAATCTGTTTACTTCATCCCAGAGGAGAGATAATTGCTGATCAGCATACCCTTGGGTTGGCTTGCTTACAGAAGAGTTGAGTACTGTCTACTGGATACTGTTCAAAAGTTTTGTCAAATTTTAATATCCTTTCATCTTAGTATTTCGCCTGTGTTTGTAGTTTCCGTGGAGGATATAAGATCCCCTCATATATTTACTGTGAAGAACTGCCTCTGATTTGAGACAGTCGGTAGCCCTTCTGACTAACAAAGGGAGGTAAGAAAATTTAGTCAGTGATGGTTTGTTCAGTGGGGTTTTTTGTGTTGTTTTGCTGTTTGTTTTCTTTTTTTTTTAACTTGAAAGTGTATAGTTGCATTGTATTTAAGGAGGATGTTTACTGTATTAGAGAGATAGGTGTATCTACATGGAAATGTTCCTCCTTCTGTAATACTTGTTTGTGAGAACAGCTGCTTTCAACAATATCCAGCAAAAAAGGCATGAAAGATGTTTCACCATAAGTTCCAAAGGGACTTATGAAATACTTGAATACTAGTAACACACAACTTTACAGTCAAAAGCTAATTCTGTAATAGTACTAGACGTTTAATGCCACTGACCAAACTCAGAGATCTCCTTTGTCTGAATGTCATTGCTCAGTCGTGGTTTTTGGCTTGTTCCGTCCATGTTGTGTCTAAGCTGACATAGCTCAGTGAGATTTGTACAGGCATACGGAGTCTGACCAATGCCTCTTCACTTTAGAAGGACTTCATTACGGATATTTGACTTGTCTACCTCTGTTCAAATCTGTTGTCTGAAACGCAGATTGTGAAATCAGGGAAAATGGAATATGATGTCACTTACGATTCATTTAAGCCAAATGCTCAACATGAGCCACTCTAAACACGTCAAGGCACTGAAACATATATTTGGATTTACATAATTTCAAGGCCAAAAAATTAGTAAATAGGTTGTTTTGGGAGAAAGGCATTGAAATGTGAGATTTAAGACTGCCCTTAAGCAATAAAGGTAT